AAGTACTGGAACAACTTGGTCGGCCAACCCCAGTTCAGCAACCTATGAAAGTTTAAAAAAGATTTTTAAATTTGATTCTGGGACTATATTTGCTAACCTGATAATATACATGTACACTAGTATTCATGAAGTTTTTTGAATGCTTGGCCTCATTTTGTAACTAATTGAATATGATGGGAATGCTGGTAGTATTATGAGCACATTCCAGATTCTATAGATTAATGTGTGCATTCACTGTATTTGTATTTATATTTATTGTCTAGTCACATACAGTTGGAGTATTTATATTTATGATTACTTGATATATGAGGAAAGTACTGTATTTGACCCATATTGAATGTATTTTTGATAGAATTTCTTTGCAGGCATTTTTTTAAATAAGGGAACAGGGGCGCAGCGCCCTCATGCCATGGCCATGCGCCCCCTTACCCTGGGAAGCAGATCCTCTGGCAATCATGAAATTCTGATTGACCAGAGATCACATATGGACACAGTCTTCAACTGTGACTTGTCTGATAGTAATTTTGGCCCCAAGGAAGCTATACAATGCTCCATTTTAACTTAGAATTATCAAAAACTCCACACCCTGGTAGGGAAAACCCTATCTCCCCCACTGGGTGGCGCCGCCGAATTACAGTGCTCCCTCTTGCAGTTTTTTTCTAGAAAAAACCCTGCATTGCTAGTAATTTTCACATGTGAGATAATTTTTGTTTACAGTAAATACTTGTGGATGCTGGGCATACTGTACAATCCAGTGATACCATTGTGTGCACAGGACAAATAACTTTATATTTAGAAAGTGATTTTGTTTGTTTGTTGATTCTTGTCATTTCCTGGCGTTAGGACGTAACATATGTTGCCTCCTAGCATCAGACCGAGACACTTGCATAGATATAGTGATCTTGAAAAACATCTTACTACATGTATTATATATATTTATATAATTTATAATTTGATAGAATGAATTGACATTTAATTAACAAAATAAATGTAAAAACAAATAAGAGGCCACAACATTTGTGTTTGTGGCTCAAGTCACCTATACAATCACAAAGACCAACCACTCCAGCATTCAAAAAGCTGACTGAACTTGATTCCCTTGACTTAAGATGCCTATAAAATCAGAGGGCACACTGATTCTGAGAGCTATCCTCTGATAGGATTTTTCATTTATTTAGCCATATCAAACTAAACAATCTTCCTGATTGGTGGAATGAGATATGTAAAAACAGAATGGAAAAGCAAATACCATACTCTCATATGATTATCATGCATGAAGCAAATAAGTAGTGTATGCTTTACAATGTTATCGTGGATTCTCAATCAAGCAAGTTAAGTAGGCAGATCAATTGTATTCTTTTACACGTACATTTGTATTTAGAAAAGTAGGCAGCTAATGAGTAAAATGTTAATTAGCCTTCATCCACATTTTAAATAAACCATATCGCATTGCATTTCACTGTAAGCAGTTTTGTACCACACATTTTTCTAAAATTGAAAGTTGAAGAAACGCAAATTTCAAACACGTTTTTG